AGTGACTTTGGTTAAAAGCAGAAACAGCAGATTTTCATGGGTAGAATTTTTTTGGTATGCATTCAGCACTGAGGTCCTGGAATGCAGCCTCCCTACTGGATCAGCTCTGTTTCAAACAAATACAATAGGATCTTGTTACAACAATAGTGCTGGGGATTTTACTATATTTGGAATTAAGCTACACTTTCTATTTAAACTTAAACTATACGTCCCACCAAAATCTTGCCTTCCATTTTATCATCCAGACCCTTTTTGTTCAATGCTCTCTCCACCTCTGGCCAGATCAAGTGCCTTCTACTCTTCTTTAAATCTATACAAATTAAAGGAATAACATTAATCTTCTCCACTATGGCTCACAATGATCTCTTTCTTCTCTGCCACCCATGTCATATCTAGCCTGTACCACACAATTATCCTTCTCTAACTGCATACGGGTCTTCTTTCTTTTCTGAGACAAAATGGTGCCTGTGATGATGTTAAAGACACTTCTAATTGGCCACCAACAATTTATTCTAGTCTTCAGTTGTAACATAATACCGACAGAGGGTAGTACTACCTAGACTAGGCAAATAAGTGGCAGTAGATAGAGCAAGGGCCTGGAGTCAGGAAGACTTAAGTTCAAATCTGACCTCAGAAACTTACTAGATGTGTGACCTTGGCCAAGTGACTTAATTCAGTTTGTCTCAGTTTCCTCATCTGTAAAATGAGCTGGAGAAGGAAATGGAAAACCACTCTAGTATCTTTGCCATGAAAACCCCAAATGGGGTCACAAAGAGTTGGACATGACTGAACAAAAACAGATTACTAACACTGTTCAAGATATGCCTTACTGTGTCTTGAGTGACTTGAACCTGCAAGTCATCTGATATCATAATATTCCATAATACACTGTTATAGGTTACTAGGTGGCATGATAGTCAGGACTTGAATTTGAGTAGTGCTCTAGGCTCTTACCAGCTCTATGACCACAGGTAAGTCCCTGAACCTTTTAAAGTATTTGTTTTCTCATTTATAAAATGAGGATAACAATACCTATACTATTTACCTAAAAGTGTTATTATTAGGTCAAATAAAATAATGCCTGAGACATAAACTTTACAGAACTAAAAATGTTAAGGGGTTGTTGTTGTTGTTGTTGTTCTTAATTAAATAGGAGCCTTTTCCTATTCTGGCAGATGATATGCTCCAGTCTGTGCCTCTAGAATGTGCTAGGGGAAAAAATGAGTGATAAACTGTTTCTCATGTTAATCAAGTTGTCCTGATCTATTTTCTCATCTTTTTATACAGTTGAATGAAAAAGAGAGAAATGGGAATAGACAGGAGGACAGACACATAAAGGAGCAGAGCTGATCTTGGATGGCAGATGGCTGGTGACGGGTAGAGGGTTGAAAAGTATCATCCAGGAAAGGCCAGGATCCAATCAATCACAATTAAATCAAAGGTAGGGGAGGTGAGGGAGAAGAACAGTTAAAAAGGAATTTTTGCCTACATGAATTTGAGCCAGAGAAAAAGAGAAGTGTTTTTAAAATAGTCCTTCATTAAAAATTCAAAAAAGAAGCAAGGTTTAGTTAAGATTAAAGCAATTTATTGTCTGTGAACAGGACTAGAAGCTGCTTATTTTTAGATGATAATATACATACCCAACAAGAACAATTACAGCCTGCTAAGAAGATGTGTTGCTAAACAGTCTTGGTGGACCAGTTATATCTAGCCAGTGCCTCCCTCTCAGAAACAGTGCTGCTCATCCCCCAAGTTAACCTAGGCAGTCTTGGTCCAAGGGCACAGCAGTTCCTTGAGGTACTAGAAAGTTTATGAGATTTCCTGAGATGCCCTCCTCTCTAGTGCTCTTTGACTTTTGACTGACCCTTCCAGTTCTATTGCGCATTTTCAGTTCTCAATGATTTTTCAAAGTTCATGGACAGCAGTTACCTAGGAAAGTCACTTCATGGAAGCTTCCCTTCTCACCCACCCTGACCCAGAGCTCAGATGTTTGGATCAATTAAATAAGGGACAAAGGATACCTGAGGAAGCCTAAAGAAGAGACCTCACATCAAAATTCGAATGCCAATGGCCTACATTCTATAGGAAACTCTGGGAGAAGATTTATTTTTTATGTCTTCCATCAAAGGAAACCATTAAGTCAATCTACCTTTTGTTCTGGCTCTCTAATCCTATCCTAATGTAATTGGTCTTAGGTCTAAAAAGCAAGTGATACTTCTCCTGACCTTTTTAAATCATGTTTACTTTTATCCAGCCTACTCCAATCTAATACATCCATCACCTAGCTCATGCTACTGTGCCCATTGGAGCTTCTGCTCTCCTATATCCCCCTATGGATTCCCCTATATCCTTAAATTTGGCAATCCACATTCCTTCCACTTCCTTACTAAATGGAAATATGTCTCTCCCATAAAGAAATCACACCACTTTCAACACTCTGTTCCAGTGACCACCCCTTTCATTCCTCTCAGCTATTAGGGCCAGAAAAAGATAGGGTATATCCTTTGCTCTTCATTGCCTTTTCCAGGCCATTATTTTTTACCATTGCTTGAAAAACCTTTTTTATTTCGATATCTATATCTTTTTATCTAACTCTCTCCACCAAGCTGAATTGTCTTCTACCAAGTTATTCTCCTCACAACTTTCTCAGTTATTTTAATGCCAGGCTCATTGTCATTTTCTGTATCATATAACCTGCCATCATACTCCAGTATGTCAATATTAAAATGCTGCTTTGACTTCATGATTACTAAAACTCCTCAGTTCCAATAATCTCTTTCTCTACTCACCCACCTCTATTTACCGACATGGTCATCTCACAGATCTCCATATTTCTTGTACTTATACCATCTCCAACATTTGAAACTTTGAAATTCTACTCACTAATCACTATCTTTTATACTTTAATCTCTTTGACTCCTACTCACACTAACCATACTCGTTGTCCTTATTGTGACCTTTGATACTTTGGTACTTTAATAATCTCTTTCAGTCTATCTCATCCACTACAGCCTCACTCATCTCCATACCCAGTCTTCACCCCCTAGTTTGAAATGTTATAGCTACAATTGAAATGGCTACAAGCTATTCCAAACTTATGAATCTTCATACCTAGGCTACCTTCATATCCAATTTCTCCATTCCTGCTCAAGGGATGTTTAGCATCACTAGAAAAAGTCACAAAAGCAAGCTGATTTCAACCACTACACTTCATAGAGGCTTTGCAATCAAAGGATCATGGATACTTTAGTTCTACCTTAATTGTTCACTATATTATTCCCCAGAGTGACTCCTTCAATTTTTTTCTTCTCTTCTTTTTCCTCCAACCAGACACATCACCTCAAACCCTGCTTTAAAAGCAAATGATCTAGGATCAAGTAGCCAAGAGAAAGGAGTTAAGTGTTAAATTCTGCAGGAAGACCAAGGAAGAGAGAAGATTGAAAAAGGGTATTGATTGTAGCAATTAAAAGATTATTGCTGACATTGTAAAGATCTGTTTCACCTGAGTGGTGAGCTAGGGAAAACAGATTAGAAGAGATATTGAAATTAATGGCATGGGGAGAAAGTAAAGGCTTCAACTCTATACTATTTTTCTTTCTTAGCATTGAATCAGAAGAGAGATATAGGATGTAGCTTAAAGTAATGGAAGGGTCAAATGAGATTGTTTTCATCTTTATTATTTTTGTATTACTTTCTTAAATCTAGAAATCATTAAACAGTAAATCAGTCCCTAATTTGTAGAATTTGCCTTCTTTTTAAGGTGTAATTGCTTGTACTGGAAACTTAACAGTCAGTTCTATAGCCGTTCTAAGCTGGCTCCAGCACACCCCTGGATGCAGGAGAGCTGAGGCTATTTGTAGGCACCATGGAAGAGAAAGGGAGAGATTAAGACATTAGTTTGGATTCTTTACTTCCTCAGCAAGTTTTTTTCCTTCAAGTATTCCTTTCATTTTTTCCCCCAAGAAACACACCATTGTCTTTGACAAGCCAGATAGTAATGAAGAAGTCTTCTAGCCTTTTTGCCTTTTCTTATAGCAGAAAAGACAAATCACATTTTAAAAAAGTTTTGTTGATCCCTTTTGTATTCATATTGCAATGTTTTCCTGATACAACCATTCCCCACATAATTTCCTTTGTAAGTATTCTTGGATTAAAAAAAGAAAAAATATCAGTTAGAAAAATCAACCTATACATGAACTATATCAGGAAAAATATGTGACATCCCACATCTTTAGACCTCCTCCTCTCATGTGAAAGGTGAATATGTGCTCTTATCTATTCTCTAGGACCAACAGTATTCATTATAGTGCAATAACATTCAGCCTCAGATTAATGTTTATTTTTTTTTAATTTACAACTTAATAGTCATCATGTACACTGACATCCTGGTTCTGCTTACCTTCAACTGCATCCATATGTCTTTCTATTTTTTTTTACTTCATATCCTCATACTTGCAGTTTTTATAGTGTGTTAATAATCCATTATATTCCTATACCACAATTTTTTAGCTATTCTTCAATTCATGGGTACTCACTTCCCTTTGATAGTTAAATTAGTGTAGCATTAAACCTATTAATTGATTAATTAACTTAGAATTATCATTTTATTATACTGACTTGGTCAGACATGAGCATTGAGTATTCTTCCAATTACTTGTCTTCTTTTATTTCTGTTGTAAGGGAGGGAATTCCCATTTCTACCTCATTGGATATAGTCACAGCAGGCCCTGAATGTAATCATAAAGTGATAATAAAGTGTTAAACTAATCTGATCCTTTTATGAAATACAAACACATCTCTGATCAAATACAAAATGTAATAATGTGATTGGCTGAGCAGATAAATTAGTCGTGCCTCTAGGACTTTAAATAGCCTTGGAAGAATTAATTCAGTTTGTGTTCACAATTTTGAGAGATATGAGCCAGAAGCGACACTGAGTACATTGCGATTGGAAGAAGGGAAGGAAGTTTCTCTATACTTCCCTCCCACATTGGTTATGTAACTTTGAAGAACTATTCAACCAGCAGGAGATACAACATGCAGCAGAAATCGGAGACCTAGTCCATACAGGCATGGAGTCAGAGACACAGGGGAGGAAACAGCTCCCCAACAGAAGAGAAGAGAAGAAAAGCTGACCCTGGGCAGTCCAGCAAATTAGCCAGCAGAGATTTTGCACCTAAACAGAAGATTAAGACTTTACAAAGAGAGAAAGTAATTTAAGGATCTGAAGTATCCAGGATTGTAAGTTGTCTTCGCCAAAAATGTACTTACAGGTGTATATTACCAGCTCCATACTCTAAATTTGAACACACTTCCCAGATACACCATATATATATATAGGATATATATGGTGTGTCTGGGAAGAATGTGTTCAAATTACACATGTAATATATACATATATACCATATATGTCTGTATATGTACACATATAATATATACATATACATGTGTTGTATGTATACATGTGTGTATACATACATACACACGCACGCACACACACACACACACATATATAAATTTGTGGAAGGGCATACTCCAACTTTGTGAATAGGGGCTAGAGAGATAGAGTGCTAGCATGGAACCAGGCAGTTAGTGAATGATTGGATTCTATTTTCTCACCCTGAATTCTCTTTCACTTTATTGGATCATTTAATCCATTACTATTTAAGGTTATACTTGTTTAAGTTTCCATTTCCCTCCATTTCTTTTTTGTGTATTGGATTTATGTTCTTCCCCTTTCAAGTTTGTACTTTGTCTTATAATAACTTTTGCTTCACTAATTTGATACTTGTCTTATATACCAGTTAACCCAGACCTTTTAAGTAGTATTCTTTACTTACTTCACTATTTTCTCAAATCAGCCCTGAGAACAAGGATAAGAGACCCTGAGATTCAAAGGTGGAATAGTAAGCAATCATTCCAGTGATACAAAGGTAAAAACCCAAGAAGCACAAAGTTAATAGCTTCAAAGTCCAAAATACATGTTATGAATTGGTTAAGGAAACTAAGGATGTTTGACCTAGAGCAGAAAATATTTGGGAACATTAGAAAACTAATCCTATCCTCTCATTTTACAATGAGCAATTTGAGGCTCATAGGTCACCAAGTTAATAAATAGTAGAGTTAGAACTTGAACCTCGGCCTTTGTTATGTGGTTGCAGAGACAGAACTAAAGCTGTGGTGGAGTTATGTCAAGGAGTTTATGCAGAGGTTGATTTAAGATTGCAAAGATCCAACAATGGAATGCTCTAACATTTAGACAGTGAATTTTCCATCACTGCTAGTATCTTCACCACTCAGGCAGGTTAATGAATAAATAACTCCTAGTCAGTCATGTTATAAAAGGATTTCTATTTTGAGTAGGGATTAGAGCAGATGACCATCAATATCCCTTTCAACTCTGACATTGTAAGATTCTAGTATAATCTGTGGCTCAAAGCCCATTTGTACTGACTGGATTCTCCTTATTGTTTGAGATTAGTTATTTAATGGGTTTTGCCCATATGAGAGGTACAGTTGACAAGAGCTTAAGAGAGAAGAAAGATCCTCTTCTTTCTTCCAGCCTTGAGAGAAAAGACTTGTGATTCCAGATTCTCTTTAGTTCCCTGAAGGAAGAGATAGACTGTAGAAAGAAACATACATGTAGAAAAGCCAGCTCCTCAATCATGCCATTACTTCCAGATTACTACATTAGAGAATTTGGGGAATTTCCCTATGGATGAGATCTGAGACTCTATCTCTTGATTAAACTTAAATATCATATTCCTAATGAGAGAGCTCATTCAGTCTGGTATTGTCTGATATATATTCTCATCTGTATGCTTTTGCTGATTTTTATTTTCTACTGTATTGGATAAATGAGTTTATTTGCTATATGTATTCATTATGGAATCTCCATTTGATAGAGAGTTAAGCCTTGAATATATAGCTTGGGATATTTGATGCCTTTTAAAGATTAATAATCAGAAGTTCAGCTTGAACCTTAAAATTATTTCCCTTAGATGAATAATCTTGTTGGGGGGGTGAGTAGATATAATTTTAATCCAGTACCCTTTTCCTGAGTAGATTAGAGTGTCCATTCTGTTTCCTTTCTTGTCAGGAACAAAATTCTCCCTTGGGGAAGGTTGGGTGGAGGAAACTAGATAGATAGATATGAGCGTAGTATTTATGTGTGTGCATGTGTTATATACATATATACATATATATTCATATATAAACACATATATTCATGCCATCCTATGAACCACAGTTAGACAGACATACGTGGCCACACATAAGCTACTTGGGAAATGAAACACCGCACTCTCCATTTTCTACTTTATGAAGGTCAAAGATGAGTACCAGATGCTCAGGATAAGCTCAGTCAGAGTACCTAAGGAAGACTGTATGTTGCTTGCTTGTTCCTTACCTTCATGTAAGGACCACCTGGTCCAATGGCTAAGTCCCTTAGGTTTGGCCAGGTTAGGAAGCAGGTATAAAATAACACTTTATGTCTAGCTTAGAGATTCAGGAAAAAGGGGAGAAAAAAATCATAATAATAAGGGAGAAGAGAGATGGAAGAAACCTATATAAGGCAGGGCTACAAACTGTAGTTCTTTCCCCTATTCAGTCATCCTAGCAAAACTCATAATTGGTTCTTTAACAAATACTCCAAGACTGATAAACCCAAATGAAAAATTGTCTTCTTCAGTAACACAACAGATGATTTTTCAATAGCCCCTTTTTAATTTATCTCAAAGGTTGAGACACCCTCTTTCAAACAACTACAATATCTTATTGATTTACTTCCATAAAGACTCATTGCCTGCAAATTCATTGAAAATACTTCACTGAACAAATATTTGTCCTCTAAGGAGTGTCAGAGACTCACAGAATCTTGGGACCAGAAGTCACCTGGTCCAACCTCTTTCCAAACAAGAATCTGCTCTATTATACTTGATAAGTAGCCACCAATTTAGCATTTCCTTTAAAAGCTGGGATCCACTATCCCCTGAGAAAAAGTCATTCCACTTCTGGATGGCTCTACTTGTTCATAGGTATAAGGCATGCATGCATTGTCCATATAGGTTGTATGTGTTCATATGCGTCTGTCTTTTAGAGATGGTTCATGGAACATAAATAAATGTCACTGGAATATCCTGTGCCAATTCTTCCTGAAGGGAGACACTGATTCTAGCTAGGAGAGGAATAGGAAAATTGAGGCCATGAAGCTGACCTTTCTGCTCAGAAAGCAGGTGCAAAGCTAAAATTATATCTATTCATACCCCCTAAATATTATTAATCTGGGGAATAATTTTAGGTTTAAACTATGCTCCTGGTCTCTAAGCTGTAATGGGAAAGGTGTGTCACAAGTGAAGTCTTAATGACCTTCCGATTAAATATAGTTACACAAAGACCATTACTGATGGTATAGTAAATAGTGAATAAATCTGTTTATCCAAGCTGAAAACACAAAGTTATATAGATTAGTATGTATCAAACGAGAGAGAGAGAGAGAGAGAGAGAGAGAGAGAGAGAGAGAGAGAGAGAGAGAGCGAGAGAGAGAGAGACCCTAATTTCACCCAAGGGGAAATTCCCTGGAGTCTCTAGTGTGGTAAGCTAAGAATAGAGATATAACCAATTTAGTAAGTCTTCTGTATGTGAATTTCTTCCTAGTGTTTTTTTTCTCCCTACAAGGAGCTCTCCTTGAAGAGAATGTGAAGACACCTATATTCTCTCAAAGCCAGAAGTTAGAACACTAGTAGTTCTTCTCTCCTAAGGTCTCATCAACTTTGTCCGTCCACTGATGTTCTCTAGCAGTGATGACAGTCTTACAAAATAATCTTGGCCCCAGGTTACATTTCTTCTCTGGGCTGAAACTTTTTGCAACATTTTCCAAAAATCAACCAGACCAAGTTTAAAACATACATGGCACATACATGGCACCTTGAAACAAAAGAGGTGATTTTCTCGGTATCCTAGGAAATCAAGGTAAGGCACTGTTGAAATTAAAATAAGAGATATGTTAACAGAGTATGCAATAGACGTGGCACAATGCAGGGCATCACCTGAGAAAGTACTGTAGTGACAACATACCTAACAATGCACAGTTCATAACACATGCACATTTTAAAAATAGATGCATGTAAATAGTACACAAAATCAATCATAAATAGAGCAAAGCATAGGTAACTAAGGCAAATCAAGTTAACAAGAATTGATTAAGTGCCTACTATGTGCTAGCCACTATACTGATTGCTGGAAATACAAATAGAAACAGAAAGACAATCCTGGATTTCAAGGAGCTTGCCTTCAGTGAGAGAAAACAAGACATAAAAGGAAGCTAGCTTGAAAAGTAGAGAACAGGAACAGAGGTGGGTGTCTCATGTAGTGGTATTATAGAGAAATTCCTGAAGAGTCAGGAGTGCAGCACTGAATGAAGTGAAGACATGGCTGACCTCAGTTTCAGCCTTAAAATGGAGGATCAGGGAGAAAGCAACCAATTAAATGGAGATACTTCAAGCATAGAGTGCACATCAAGTGTGTGAACTTCAGAGATGAAAGGGAACTTCCAGAATACAGAGGTCTCTGGGGCACTACAGAAAAAGTCCAGGAAAGTCAAGTATGTAGCTAGCTACAAAAATAGCAGTATTAATGGGCCGATACAAAAAAAAAAATACGACTCAACTATAATCATTCATATGCACAAAAATAATTAGTAGACATTACTATAGCATGAACATAACAGAAAACATGATTAAGTGAACCTAAATTTGCCTCTTAGCAACTTTCTTCCATTGCTCCTAGTTCTACTTCAGACAAATAGAGTAAGGCTAATTTTAGGTTGCATTAATAAAAATGTAGTGTCCTTAATGCTGCACTCTATTATACTCTCCACATTTCAAGATAGACAGTAATGTCAGCTGGAGCAGGTAACTAGCATGGTGAAAGGATTCAAGACCAGGGTAGATGAAAATTAGATGAAGGAAATAGGGATGCTTAACCTCAAGACAAAAAGACTTATGGGAGAGATGGTATCTGTCTTCATGTATTTAAAGGACTGTCACACAGAAGAGAGATTAGGTATGTTCTGTTTGTCTCCAGAAGGCAAAACTATGATAAATGTGTGGTAGTTGAAGAGAAGTAGGTATAAGTTTAATGTAAGGGAAAACATTCTAGCAATCAGAGCTTTACCAGGGTTTCTCTGGCTTCCTCCAAGTCCCAGCTAAACTTCCACCTTCTACATAAAACCTTTCATGATC